TTCTCAAGCTCAGATCGCGGATTTCCTCGAGCAGGGCCCTGCTGCATCTCTGTACCACATCGAGCACAGGAAAACATTTGTCAAAACTTTTTCTGTAGCATGTGAACAGAGAACAAACTCTTGAGTAGGGGAAATGTGTGAATCCAATCTGCTGGCCCACTGCCTTAAAAGAAATGGACTCCTGGAAGCTGCTCCCCCTGGTTTCACCCCTACTCCTTCTCCTTGTTCCCTGTTAGTGCTGCTGGGTGAGTTCCACTCTGCAGAGGCAGACTGCCTGGCTTCCTCCCTGTCCTTCTGGGAAAGGAGAGAGGGGCCAGGAGACACCAGGATTGCAGGAGGTGCAGTCCTTTCTGCTTTGGTTGCCATCCCTGAAAAGGCTCCTGTGTCCAGGTGGCTGACAGAGCCCTCTCCTCTCCGGCTGCCTTTGTCCGGCAGTGAGCTGCTTTTCTCCTGCCCCCAGGACCCGCCCTCCTACCTGGCTGCCAGGTGAACCAGCCTCTCAGAGTTGATCTGTTGTTTCTCTGAAGAGAAAGGAAAGGAAAATTTTGGTTTGCAAACTTAAAAGGAAAACAGAAACCTGGGGTTTAAAAATGCTTTACTTCTTCTTGGGGAGGGAGAGCATAGAAAGAGCCGCAATGCTCAGCAGCAGATGATGTCCCCATGGCACGACAGCTTGGTGAGCAGCTGTGAAAAAGCCCCACATGTGGCTCCCTTCTGCTTCTGTGGGCAGGAAACCTTACCCAGAAGGGCTGGTATACCCGTTTTTGGGGAGGCTGGTGTTATCCTTGTCAAGGTGCTTGGTGTTGTGCTCCCTAGGGAAGGACAAATACTGTCCCTCTTGTAGACGTTTGGGGAAACTGAGGCCAGAGGGCAAGAAGAGCCTGTTGACATGCAGGTTCTTGGACCAGCCACCCCCTGTCGTGACTGTGAAAGGTCTCCCCATCACAAGATACCAGATCTTACTGCACTGGACAGGCTGTTGCCAGCTCACTTGGGTGGGATGTGTGAGTGCTGCTGTTAGACCAGGATTGCTTAACTGACTGCTTCCACGTCAGGACAGTTACAGAGCACCAGATTCAAACCAGTCCTCCTGCATAGTCTGCCAGATAAATAATCCTGGAGGAGATTAGCTGTTTAAATGAAGTGTTTGGTCTTGCTGCTGGGACTGTTATTTAGAGCCAGACTGTTACCTGCAAAACTGCAGGGAGCATCTCTCTATCTGTAAAAAGAAAATAAGAATCCCATGTGCTGAATCTGTCTCTGCTGGCTGCTTGTGAAGTGCCAGCAGGTCAGCGAGGGAAGGTGACAAATGTTAACACCAGGGCAGGGCTTTGGGCAAAGTTCAGGTGTGAATCCAGACCTGGAGTTTCCTTCTACGCTGGTTTTGGGGCAGCAGTGGCCAAGCACTGTGTGAACAGCAGGTTCACAGGGCTGGTGCCTGCAGTCCGTGTTTGCTCAGCACCTTGCGCGAGGGGCCCAGGCTCAGGTGTGGTTGTGCTGCTAATAACACGCCAGCGTTCCGTGTCAGGAGGCAGGGAGGGCCCTGAAACCAAACCTGCGTGTGTACCTGCAGCTCGGTTCCACCTCTTCTTCCCTGCAAACTACTTAAACAGCTTTTCCTGAATGCTGTGTGCCCGGGCTGGGCTGGCTTTGGGGAGAGCAGCGCCGCAGGGATCACCTCTCACTGCTCTGCCTGGAGGAGGTGAGTCCTGGCTTCTGCCTTGCTTCATCCCAACTTCTGTCATCTTCCTTCTCCATCCCTTTGCCCCTGTTCTTACAGATCAATGGTTCAGGTGATTTTCTTAGTCTGCACTGGCACCTCTTTCCAGCTAAACCAATCCATCTCTATATAGTCTGTGAACAAAATTAAAAATAGTAATTGATGGGTATTGGGACAAAATGCAATTTAAACAGAAAAGGGTTCACGATGTCTTGCATCTGTGTCTGCGAAGTGATTGCTGTTGACAGCTCCTCATGTCTGGCTGTGCATGGGTGTTGCTTCTGGGTACACTGGGATTTGGTTTTTTTGTTAAAACCCTCTGTGACTGTGGAAGGGGGAAGAGACAGATCTTCTCTTACCTACTCATAAGAAATTCTGCCTCTCGGTCTCAACCTGAAATTCTCAGGCAGTCAAGGAGGTGCAGTTTCCTGCTTCCTCCCCAGTGCTGGAGATGTCACTGCAATAACAGGGAAGAAAACCCATTTTTTTTCTCTGTGTATGTGACACATCTTTTACTTAATGTTTGGAGTTTACCTTGAGATAAGTCCCCCCCAGCCCTCCAGACCCTGCACTACAGCAGACAGTGAACATTACATCTCCTTTCCAGGTCTAGCTCAGAGTGATGATGGCTCAGCTAATTTTGGCTTGTGAATCTGCTTCTTCTAGCTAATAGTACCAGGGCTTGTGCTGCTGGAGCTGTAGGGCTGCAGCTTAAATTCCTATCCCAAGGCTGTCAGCCAGCTGGGCACCCATCATAAAGGAACAAGGCTGAGACATCCTGTGTCTAGCCCACATCTAAGAAAGGTGGTTGCTGCCCCCAATCGCTTCCTTGCAGATAGAGTGCATCTGAAGTAACTCTGAGCGTATCTGGGGCCTCTTGAGATTTCCTTTGAAGCCTTGTCTAGTGATTAAAGGAGATCTGTTGCTGTTCCCTCTCTGCCGTTAGCTTGCTATTTGACCTTGGGCAAGTCATTTAAATGTTCACAGTTGTTAAAAGGAGATATCTTTTGTGACAGTTGAGGTCTAAGTGAATGCGGTGGGGGAAGGTGAGAGATCCTGGAAGGAAAATAATCAGTATTTATTGTGTGTAATTGGCAGCCGATCAACTCCTCAGCTCAGGAGTGGTGCCTCTCAGCTGCAGCAGGGAGAGGCAGAGCTTGATGCTCACCTCTTTGTAAAAACCTCCTGGCCACACTTCCAGGTTCACTCAGTCATCTCCGTGTGGGTGACTGATAGCAAGAGAGAGGAAAGGGAGAATGCAGAAACTGTCCCAACTGTACCTGTCTACTAACACTTGTGCAGCGATGGAAGTCAAATGCACGTTCTCTGTGGAATTAGGGAACACTAATTTGCACCATATTTGGTGATAACATGGGAGTTTTATCTCTGCCCAGTGTAGCTGTGGCAAGGCTGTGGTCCAGCAGCTCCTCCTGCACCCACACTTTGCATCCTGCTCAGCCCTCTGACGAGTGCCCGTTCCAGCTCTGCGAGGTCTGACCCGCTCCACCAAGCGTGGCCTCCAGCACCGATTGCCTCAGCAGCTGAAGAGGGAGGTGAGAGTTGGCCTGGAGATGTTCCCTGTAGGACTCTTTTCCTCTCCCTTCTAATAGAGGCAAAGAATTTAGAGAGGGACTGGGCTGCAAAACTGAATTTTCACTTCATTTCTGATGGGTTCACTCTGCAGCTAAGGAAGGGAAACTCTGTACCAGCTGGCGGCTCTGGCACGGAGGGGTGTCCAGGCAGGCAGTGCAGCTACAGCTTCCCCGCAGCCAGGGAGGGAGCAAGCAGAGATAAACTCCTCCGCCTGCGTGTCTCACATTCTCTTCAGCCTCCTTCATCCAAAAGAACCCAAAGCACCTGGGAGCTGCTCTGCAATGGGACAGGAGACAAAAGCTTCTGTGCAAACTGGGAGCATGCTGCACAGTCCAGAAACGGGGTCATGGGCTGAAGCACATTCAGGCCAGTGGGACCTGTTAAGCCTTGTCCCTGCAGAGAAACTCAGTGGTGGCTCATGTAGGGTGAGAAGTTAGGCCATGTGAATCCTGAGAGTTAGACTGCAGTTTGTTTTACTCCTAAATCGATGCCTGTGCAAGAGCTTAATGTCACCCTTCTTGCTAACCTGTTCTACCTTTCCTAGCCTAACTACAGACCATCTTCCTGAGATGCTTTCAGCAAAACAGCAGTTTGGGGGCTAGCCTAGCTGCTGGTAACCTTGCAGGATTTCTTTCATTTGTAGACTGACATAGTGACAGGCTCATACTAAGATGCATCTGCTTACTCTTGCCTTAGCTGCTTAGCCCCTGTCCTGATCTGGTGGCCTCTCCCCTCTGAAGAAGGCTGGAGAGAGGGAGCACGTTACAGGGCAAATAAATGACTCAGACTAATGAGTAAGGTAATTGCCGTTCACTGTTAGATGAGGCTAAAGTGGGTCAGGTTTGTTTGTGAAACTCCATGAAGGCACCATCTGTTCTCTGTGCCCCATCTCAGGGGCTAGAGACAGAATTTGGGTGAAACTGCTTCCCTGGGAGCCTGCGGAGCAGCACGGAGGAGGCCCCGGTCATTAGGCAGTGGCGTGGGTCCCTAGAGATGACCCTGTGTGACTGCAGGCGAATGTCTGCAGCCCTGATCCTCCCAGGGGACTCTTAATTGATTTCACTGGGAGAGGGGATCCTAAATCCTTTGTCTTTCTGCTGCAACTGCCCATCTATAAGATGAGGCTGGACAGGACACTGAGAGGTCATTAGACCTCCCTTAGCCCGAAGGCAGGATTGGATTTTCCCAAACCATGTCTGATAGGTGCCTGTCTCACCTGTCACAAGCCCTTGGAGAGAAACCTGGCACCAATGTAGTTCGTGTCTTTTAACCCTGCTGCTCTCCCAGATGTCCTCTCTCATCCTCCCATGCCTGCAAGCCTGTTGGGATTGGAACTGTCTCTCAGCGATGACATGTCTGTGTGGTACCTGGTGTTAGCCCTTTCCCCTGCCCTGGACCCTGCTGTGTCTAACGAGCTCTCTCCTCTCTCAGACCACAGCATGTGAGCAGAAAGGGAAGGCTGGAGTGGGATCCTTGCCTGCCCACGCCCGGACTCAACATTGCTGGGATCACATCTTGCAGTAAGAGGAAGAGGAAAAGATGGTTCATCCACCGTTGCTAAAAATGGGAGACAGCATCTGTCCAGCAGACCAGGAAGGGAAGCTCCAGACCTTGCCTGTGGGGCATCCCTGGGAGTGCTGCAGCCGGAGTGACACAGCCCTCTGTCAGTAAGGGGTGTCGGGGCAGCATGGCTCAGAGAGCCTGGGGCAGCATGCTCTTCCACAACCGCAAGACCCAGCTGCTGCTGGTCAACTCCCTGACGTTCGGCCTGGAGGTCTGCCTGGCTGCAGGGATAACCTATGTGCCTCCGCTGCTGTTGGAAGTGGGTGTGGAGGAGAAGTTCATGACCATGGTTTTAGGTAAGCTTTTTTTTTCTTTTTCTCATCTTTAAGATGCTTGTTTCCACTTTGAGTCTGGAGGACAGGGTCAAAGAAGGGCATGGGGGCTTGTCTCTGCAGGGTGGCTGCAGTGCTACTGTTATATCGAGGGCAGCCTTGTGTTTGGAGGAGGGGGCTGTGACACAGTGAAGCTTACTGAGTTCTTGAAACATCCCAGGCTTTTTTAACAGTGCATACAGAGCAGTGTCCTCCAGATCTGTCCCCCCTAACATCACCTGTTTCTCTTTTCCAGGGATAGGACCTGTTCTTGGCTTGGTTTTTGTCCCACTGATCGGATCTGCCAGTGACCACTGGCACAGCAGCTATGGCCGAAGGCGACCTTTCATCTGGATGCTGTGCCTGGGAGTCCTGCTGAGCCTCTTTGTGATCCCACATGCCAGCAGCCTGGCCAGCCTGTTTGCCCTCAACACTCGCCCTCTGGAGATTGCCTTCCTCATCCTGGGCATTGGATTACTGGATTTCTGCGGCCAGGTCTGCTTCACTCCGCTGGAGGCCCTGCTCTCAGACCTCTTCCAGGAGCCGGACAACTGCCGCCAGGCCTTCTCCGTCTATGCCTTCATGATCAGCTTGGGGGGCTGCATTGGCTACCTCCTTCCAGCCATTGACTGGGGTGGCAGCTTTCTGGCCCCATACCTGGGAGGGCAGGAGACGTGTCTCTTCAGCCTCCTTGCCGTCATTTTCCTCGGCTGTGTGCTGGCCACGCTCTTTGTGACAGAGGAGGCAGCCACCCAGGCAGATGTTCTGGATGGCTCAGTGCTGAAGGACGCTCCCCCTAAGCCCTCACCTCCTGCCTGCTGCTCTTGCCAACTCTCCAGGAGCTCATGTCTCCTTCAGGCCAGGCACATGATGCAGGCCCTGAGAAACCTCTGCACGCTGGTGCCACGGCTTCACAGCCTCTACTGCCGCATCCCCAAGGTCATCCGTCGCCTGTTTGTGGCTGAGCTCTGCAGCTGGATGGCACTCATGACTTTCATGCTGTTCTACACAGACTTTGTTGGGGAAGGACTCTACCACGGTGTCCCCAGAGCCAAGCCAGGCACGGATGCCAGACGCCACTACGATGAAGGTGAGAAGTGAACCAGCTGCTCTGAGGCTGCAGCACTTGTTCCCTAGGGCAGGAGGGTTCAGTGGGAGCTGGGAATGGGCTCACCTCTGCTAATAATGCAAAAAAGCCTTACAGGAAACCAGACCTTCTGCAGATGGGTCAGGAAAAAGCATCCCCCTGTGGCCCCCAGAGCGTTGCACAGTGGACCAAATAGGAAAACACCTCTTTCTTCTCCAGCTGTCAGGCACAGAACTAGATCTGGCAGCGCAGCCCCTGGTCTGGGGCTGAGCTGTTACGTGGCAAAATGGTCTGGCAGGTTGCATGCTGAACAGGACCTATCCGGCTTTGTCTGCAAGCTGCAGTTGCTGCTGCCAGGTCCTTTCACTGCTCTTCCCTTCTTTTTAAATGAGGGATGATGGTGCTCCCCATCTCTTGGCGAGCAGGGGTGGGAAAGCCAGGACATGCTCAGTAGCAGTAGGTGGGCTTTGCTGCGTCTTCTTTTCATGCTACTGTGAGATTCTGCTCACTTCAGCACATGACCTGCTTACTGTCGTGGCCTGTGTTGTGCCTTGACTCACTGTCCAGCCCTTCTTCTCCTCTCTCAGATCTAAGTCTTTTATTCTTGGAGGCACCTCTCTGGCCCTCCTCTTCCAGCTGTGTATCTTTCCCTCTTGAGTTTTCCACTCCCTGGCTCCGTGAGCTCTGCAGTACACTGCCTCTTTGTGCTGAGTACCTGTTTAACTTAGAGGGAGTTTAATTATTATTTAACACTTGCACTGTATAGCTTCCAGCAAGTCAGGACTGCATTGTGTTAGCTGTCATAGAAACATAAGTTGAGTAATGATCCTTGCTTCAAAGAGTTAATGGTTTTAATTCCCTGAAATCTGATAGATAGGGTAAGGTCCGGATTGCTACCGGATACTGCAGTCATTTAGTGGATGTTGTGTACTTTACCTTGGCTTAAGCACAATTCCTTGTTCCCTTTGTTCTGTTGCTGGTTTTGGCATCAGATAATAACAGATCCTGGTTCATGAGCCGGTGACAGATCCTGGATCAAGAGTAGGAAGGTGTAAACAACTTCCAAAGACAAGAATGGCATTTGGATTCCTGTCTCCCATTGCTCCTCTGGCTAGACTGGGGTGCCCAGGGGCACATGTAGGAAATACTTGCTACTGGTAGGGGATGGGAGCTGCATTCTAACTGGTGCAACCCTGGAATATGTTAGGTGATGCTGCTCTGCTTCCTGAGCCAGCCAGGTGGTTGTCAGGGCTGTTTGTGGCTGTGCCACACTCTGAGTTGGACACCTCAGGAGAGGGAAGGAGGCCCAAAGGTGTTTGGCTGTGTGAAGCCTGGGTGCAGTCAGGGCAGCATCTTTCACCATCTCTGCTTACCCACAGGTGTCCGGATGGGTAGTTTGGGCCTCTTCCTGCAATGTGTCACATCCATCTTCTTTTCGACAATCATGGACCGGATGGTGAAGCAGTTTGGGACACGGGCGGTCTACCTGGCCAGCGTGGTGTTCTTCCCCGTGGCTGCCTTCGTCATGTGCCTTTCCCACAGTGTCATCATTGTTACCATCTCAGCTGCTCTAACAGGCTTCACCTTCTCTGCACTCCAGATCCTGCCATACACACTGGCATCCCTGTATCATCATGAAAAACAGGTAGGGATCTGCTCCAGAGGGCAATGTGGCTGGTAGCCCTGAGGACAGCTTGGCCAGTCTCTTTTGCCACTTGTAGCTGTTACAATCAGCTCAGCCCATGGAAGAGAAACACGTGTCTGTGCACAGAGATTTTCCACACATGCCTCTTCTCTCCTGGCTGTGTCTTCTCTGAAGAATCATCTGAAATGGAGAAGATGAGAGTTGAGCATCTCCTCCCTTAGACATCCCCTGCTCACAACAAGCATTATGCCATTTTAAAGTGTCGAGTGGGTAAGATGGGAGAAGTCAGCTCGGATTGATGTATCAAAATGGGTGTCCTGTGTTCCTCCATGTTCTGCATATTTTTAGGGAAACTGGTGCAGGTTGGTTATACCTGTGTGCATTCTGCAACCAAGTTACATCTGCAGCACTGCCAACCTGAGCTGCTAAAAAACTTAAAGAGTTTTCAGCCCTTTAAAGTCCAGATTTCCAATTTTTGTCCGTAGCATAAAGATCAGTAAAAACAAAACTGAGGTTCTTCCTTTTCCCCTAGCTCCAAGGAAAATAAATGTTGTGAAACTTTTGACACCAACACATAAGCAAGTCATCCTGTCCCACAGATGTTATCCTTGTGGAGAAGTCCTAGGAGGTTCCCAAGTTGCACACTGGATTAATAGGAGTTTCTCTTGTGCTGCAAATGCAAAATTAATTTGTGGTTTGGGAGCAGCTCTTTCATCCCCATGGCAGGCGGTTCACTGTGCAGTGAAGTAAGTAGGAGTTGATACCACAGGCATCCAGATGTTCACATTGAACAAATACTTCTGACCAACCCTTCCCAATTTGCACCAGGCACCCTGTCAAAATAGGGGTACGGGGGAGTGTTCTGCATTGCAAAGACTTCAGTTTGCCTGGGATCTCCCATGGACATAATATCAACAGAATGAAAACCAAACTCCATGGGCTGGGAATGTGAAGGCCACATGCCCAACTGTTTGCCAAAGGCTTGACAGGGAAACACTCTTAGCACAATGAGGGTTTGGTCTCTCTGTTGCCCTAACTGGAAAGTTCCTCCTTCCTTTACCCGCTACTTTGCAGCAGGCTATGGGGAGACCCCACAAGAAGCAGCTGCTAAAATGCCTTTGCAGAAAGTTCTCCATCTTCCCCATTTCTGTTCTTTTCTTTTTTCTTACTGTTGAAATCTGTCATTGCTTTTCTTTGCCTCCTGATTCCTGCTCCCTTTCTTCCCTCTCTTTTTTTTCACCTTGTTTTTTTTAACTTTAAACACTCCTCTCAAAGTGAATCAGCAGAAGGGGCATCCAGAGGGGCTGGTGCTTCCACCCTGTGTGGGATCGTTGGCGAAAGCCTGCGAGGCCACCTCAGCTGGAGCTCCTTGCTTTGCACAGGCTGTGTAAGTCACTCTGTTCTCCTGCATGCCCTCTCATCTTTGCATGGCCACTAAACCTTGTCTAGAACAGGAGGAAAAGATCTGCATGTTCTAACAGCACCAGAAAGCTTGGCAGAGGTGAGATGCGTGGTGGGCACTCACATCTTCTGCAGGGGATCAGGGAGTGCTAGGTTCCTCATTCCCACCACTTCCCACCAACTATAGAGGGAGATGAAGCTGTTGCTTGAGGCACCGGTGACTGCTGTGGTTGTATCTTATGTTACAAAGGGTAATTTTAAAGCATAAGTTCTCACTAAGCTCATTCCTGTGAGTATCTGTTTGTTTTCTGTAGAATTAAATTAATTCTCCACACTAGGTGTTCAAACACCCCTGCCAGAACTCATATCTCTGAAGTCCAAGCCTGGATCAGTATTAAAATCACAAAAATGTGGCATGGGCCTTCAGGGCAGCTGAGCAGGCTTCTGGGAATGTCAGTGTCAAATATGAAGGGCTGGAATTGCGGGGGACATCCTAGTTTGGCTCACACAATGCCCCTTCTGTGCTGGGTTTTGAGTTGCTTTGAAGTCTGATGGCAATAGGAGGCATGTGGGAGGGTTTTTAAGCTCCACATAAGATAAGTGACTGTCCTGGGTTGTTGCATTTAAGCATAAATCCATAAGCCTAGGCAGAATTGAGGAGTTGAAGGGTATAATGAGCAGCTGAGCTGAGCCCAGGTAAAGCTTTTGGAAGGTGGTTGCTGTTTAGTGAAGTTTTCATCTGGTTTCTCTTCTCTAATAGAATCTGAAACTGTTTGTGCTACAGATCTGCAGCCACAGCCTGGGGCAGCATGAACAGAGACTGGCTGGTGCTGACTACACTAGGGCAGGACTGGGTGTAGCTGGGTGGGTGCCAAGACTGCTGAAAGCTTTGGGATGGCCTGCAACAGAGCTGGAGTGCCCACACCAACGGTTCCCTCCTCTTGATGTGTCCCTGTCCCTCCTGCAAAAGGAAGGATGGGTCAGGCAAACCCCCTGAGCCCTGCAGCTGGGTACAGTGCTCTCTGCTCTCAAACAACTGCTATTTTTTCCTTTTTATTTTGTTTGTTCAATCTCACCAGACACATAATGGATTAACAGATCCTTCGTTATCTGCTCTACCTCATGCAGACCAGTGGTTGTGCATAATTGCAAGTGCCCTGGAGTTTTCAAGCTGCAGCTCTGCGGCATTTTCACTGTCTGCACATGACTGCCCATTATTTGTTGGCATTAATGTGGAGAACTTTTAGATCCAAATAACTCTGTGTGAATACTGCAGGAGGGAGCCATGCCCCAGAGATCTCACAGCTGGAGCAGAGTGAAGCAAAAAAAGGGTGAGAAGAAAAAGATTTTTCTTCCTCACAACCCCCTTTTCTAGCCTGAGTGAGGAGGCTCAGGTCAGGGAGATGAAGCAACTCAGCTGAGGTCATACATGCACGGTCTGTTGCAGACCTGAGAAAAGAGCTCTTTCCTGAGTTCCCAGCACTGTGCCATCTCAGCTGATGTCACTTTTAAGTATCCCAGATATTAAGAAGTGGCCAGGGCTGTGAACTGTTCATCTGCCCTTTGGGCTCTTCTGCTGAAGGTTTTGGGTTCCCAGTCAGCCACTTTGTGAACATTTCTGTTTGCACTGGAGTGGATTATCTGGCTTTGATATGTTTAAAGTGGGTTCTGGCCCTTCACTCCTGTCCTTCAAGTGTGCACCTGCTGATTTCAGGATGGAATGAGCTGTAGTTGGTGCCCATATTCCCTTGGCACTCAGTGAGGAGGTGACAACCCAGGGCTCAGTGCAAAATGTCCCCAGGCAGAGTCTGGGCTGGCTTTGGGCTGCAGCAGCCTGCTGAGCCCCAGAACTTCAACACAACAAAGGCACCACTTGGCCAGATTACTCCGGTGAGTCAGGGTTGCTTTGAATCCCGTGCCAGTTGGGAAAAGCCAGGCTGGGTCCTGGAGGCCATCTCACGTGGGCCAGGCTCACTGCGGGCACTCCCCACCTCTTAACAGTTCAGCCTGACCCAAGGCATGCAGAGCACAGGGTGATTTTGCTCTCTGGCACAAAAAACAGGGGCCCCTCTGCCCCCACCTCCCTTGCTGGGCTCCACCCTACCAACTCATCCCTCACGTGCCCTCCTTCTTTCCCCTAGGTATTTCTGCATAAATATAAGAGCAAAGAGGAGGAAGACGCAGCTCGACTGGACAAGAAATCAGCCTTCTCTAAAGGCCTCCTTTCCAGCCAGAAGCTGCCTTACCAGAATGGACATGCTGGGAGCCTCTTCTCTTCTTCCTCTTCTTCCTCCTCTCCTCCAGCTGCCAGCTCAGCTCTGTGTGTCAGCTCCTCCTGCGATGTCTCGCTCATGATGATGGTGGGAGAACCGGACTCGGTGGCTCCTGGCCGTGGGATCTGCCTGGACCTGGCTATTTTGGACAGTGCTTTCCTCCTCTCTCAGGTTGTCCCCTCACTCTTCATGGGGTCCATCGTCCAGTTTACACAGTCAGTGACTGCCTACATGGTGTCAGCTGCCAGCTTTGGCCTGGTAGCCATTTACTTTGCAACCAAAGTTGTCTTTGATAAGAGTGACATGGCGAAATACTCGGTGTGATGTGGAAGGCACAAGGGCAGCAGCAGGTGCCTACATGTGGCACAATGAGATGTGTGTGTGTTCACACACCACTTGTGGGAAGCCTCGTGTGGTACCTGCTCTCCCCATGCTCTTGCTTTAGCCCTGGGGGGGTAGTTTTGGGGCTGGGGGCAAGAGAAATGCAACAGGGGCTAATCTCAGGTGTAAATATGAGGCATCGGGGCATTGTGCTTCGGGCCATTACTGCTTTCCAAAGGTGCCTTTATCAAAAGAAAGCACTGCACAGCCAGCACCAAAGGGGGTTATACAGGGGAGAGAAAGGAAATGGATTTTTCCTTGAATAACGGGTTATGTTTCTGTGTAATTCTACCTAAACTGAGCAGCAGAGGCAGTGGCATGGGGAGAGAAGGAAGAAATCATTGGCTCTCCTGATTTCCAGTTACAGTTGTATCTTCTTCCCCTGCTGCTTGTAGTTTTACTCAACTGCTTGAGCAATACTTCTGCAAATGGGACACCGGGAGGAGATTTCCTTGGGGGAAAAAAAAGATGGGTGGCTAAGGTTTGGCCAGGGAGCAAAGGGGTGCCTATGTGTGCACACACGCTTCCGTCCTTCCCCACCTCTGTTCTGACTGGGAGAAACCATTTAGGAGAAAAGTTACTATCTCTTGTTTTGGAAAAACAAGGAACGTGTCATTAGGACCAAGTCCAAAAGGTGACTTACCTTTTACCTATGTACCAGGTTGCATCAGATGGAAAGGACTTCTTAACCTTTTTTTTTTTTAAATGATTGTTTTTAGCTTTCCTCACACAGTTCTCAGTCACTCTTGACGTCTCACTCCTTGGTGTGCAGAACTGCCACCTGCTCTCTCCCCTGACAGGTCTCTAAACTGTTGTGCCTTTTCCTGATACAAGTGGACCAGCTGGAATAATTCTGCTGGTGGCAGATTTCTACCACTTATAGACTACCTGTATACACCAAGTAGGAGTCAGGGTCCTGGCCCACAGTCAGACTTCAAAATGATCCAAACTCTGCCTACAGAAAGCACAAACGGGGCGTTTGGAGGTTAGGCTGTGAGTCTGCAGTTGTTCTTCAACAGTCCTTAACTCTGGATGGTCTAAACAAAGTGTTTGTGACTAATTTTCTGCGGAGGTGTGTGGGCAGTGAGATGCGCTGGTGAGGTTCTGCTGAAGGGCAAAACGTTGCTATTTTTACAAGGTCTTGTCAGACTATTCCTTGGCATGGAAGCAGGGTTACTCCCCTGCTGTCTGCACATGGGTCCTCAGAGGGCTTCTCCTCAGTTTTTTAAACATTTCTTTCCCGTAAAGGGTGACTGTTTCTGTTTTATTTCTTCTCAAATTATATGCCTACCAGCCTCCCTTTCCCACAACAAGGTTTGTGTGCTGAAATGCAGCTGTTTTGGGGGTGGATTTGGCAACTGCTTAACCACCTACAGAAACATTTTTTTTGTCTGTACTTCCTACCCTGGTCTCTGTCCACTTCAGGCTTCAGGAGGAAGTAAGTCTTGAAGGCAAAATGTTATTGCCAAAGGTGGGGTCTTGCTTGGATGAATGCTCCTAGTGATCAGTAACCAGTGATCCAGGATTTTTCAAGCAGGCCTCTACCTGGGTGCTAAAGTATCCTTTATTTTAGTTTTTTCTTATGTAAAATGTTGGGAGTCTTCACACAGGGAAGCTGCTATGATTCTAAGTGCTTTTGATAATTGAGCCACTTGTTTAAGTGCCTAATGAGTACTTCCACACTAAACTTCAGGTGTATGGGTTTGATGATTTTCATTACAGACATTGAAGTGATCCTTGAAAAAGCAGTGGGCTAGTAGGGGAGACAAAATACCCTTTGGTTTAGAACCTGAAAGAGCAAGATGCTGCAATTCTTGATCCGTAACTTGTATCTGTCCCTCAAGAGGAGAAGGCTTAAGCCTGACAGATTCCCTGACTGACTTGCCTTCCATCTGCTGAGGTGGCTTTGGCACAGCTTGGCTGTAGCTGGTGGACATGTGTAGGTTTGGGCTCGTGGCACATACAGTGGGCTCTGTGTCTTGGCTGAGCTGGAGAGCTTGGGATTAGTCAGTGTGGGTTGAGTCTCAGAGCTGTCCTTCACTGACAGATCATGCGTGTCTTTGGCCTCCTGTTCTCCCATCCCCTTCATTGCACTGGGTCATGGACTTGGCACCCGCTTGTCTTCGGCAAATCTGGTGTCCGCATCCAGAGTGCTGGCTCTGACCTCACTGGTCCTAGGAGAGGGCAGGCTGGGTTTGTCCAGTTTTCTCATAATTCAGATATGCTTCCAGGGAGGTGTCTGCATTTACTTCATTTCTGTTCAGAAAAGAGACCGCTGAGCGACTGAACTTGTGACTCTGCAGCCAGCTGCTCTTGCTCTTTGCTGCTGCATCCCAGACAGACACCCGGCATCTTGCTTTGGCCTGACCTGTGACTGGGTTGATAACAGAGCTCATTCTCCATTCCAGCTGGAGAGACACGATCCAGTCTGAACTAGGGGCTCGTGATCTACTTGTCCTCTGGCTGCGCTGCTCTTGTTTTAGCCAGTTCAGCAAGTATGAGAAGAGCTACTTGATCCACCAAGAGAGTCTTTGATTTCTCCCCTCCCTCTGACACCCTTCTTGCCATTTCTCCATCTGGAGCAAAACCCAGCAAATTCAGTAATTGCTCCTTTCCTTCTTACCCTCCTATTACACCAGGAGAAGTCTGCTGGGCCTTCTGCCAGCTACTGACATCGTGGGCAGATGGGTACAGGAAGGAGTGTTTGCCAAGACCCAACTCTATCTTCACTAACCCTGTCCCCCGTGGGAGTTCAAGCCCAAACAGATTTGGGCTGTTTGCTCTGAGAACATGGCTGTTTGCAGAGGGAGAGGAGGGGTGTAGGAAACTGCCACGTGCAGCCAGGTCCTGGGTGGGTGGTGGGCACATGGGGGACAGGGGAAGCACTTTTCTGTGTAAGAGTTCAGTAGGGATGGAAGACCACACAGCAGTCTTGGAGAAAGGGGAAAGTTCAGGGAGCAAGAGGAGGAGGGTGTTCAGGGGAAACTGAGGTTCCAAGCACTGTGAGGGACTGGGATGGGACCTGGAACTGGGCTGGCTCTGCCCTGGCAGTGGGTGGGAGTGTGCCCCTCCACATGGCCTTGTCCTGTCCATAAAGCACTTCATAACCCTTCACGCTTGCGGCCTCATGCCAGTGTGATCCCAGCCACGTCCCAAGAGCTGGCTGTGAAGTCTGAGCTCAGATCTTGAGCTGGGCTGTCAGCAGCTGCTTTCCCCAAACCCAGAAGGGATACTGGATTTGCTGTCATCACAACGGCCCTGTCCATGTGCTCTCTTATTACCAAAACCCTTTCTTCTTAGTTCAGGCTGTCGCTGACAGGAGAGGCATTTTCCAGAGCGTCTGGTGAGGAACTCCTTTCTTTGTAAGATTGTCCTTTCTGACTAACCTGCTGTGCTTCTGCTAAGGACAGCTTCTCTGTGTCAGGATCACATTCTAGACCAGCAAGGGACACAGGCATATTCTAGTAAAGGTAAGCACATCCCTTACATGCTGTTACTGGTGTGAGTGAGCACAGAAATCTCTCTAGGACTTGGTTATGAATTACAGGTATCGGTACAAGCTCTTCAGAGGTGGCTACCACGAGTTTCTCTGTTTCAGGCAGTAGGTGTGCTTCTGCTTTCTTCTCACGGGTGAATCATGCTGTGCCTCTCCTTTCCTTTTGTGCGATGGGGGTGTTAAGTTGAGGTGGGGAGCAGAGGGGAGAAGGGAAGAATGTCGTTTTGATGTGTGGTTTGTGAATCTCTAGGGTAGGGAAGGATGGATGGATGGATGGATGGATGCTGTTTTTCTTTGGAGATCATAGACTGTCCGCGAGGTGTTCGTGTTTTATTTATTCGGTAGAGTAAATATTTTGTATACAATGTAAGAGGAAGGCTATGACAAATTTTTATGAAAAGGAGGAAAATAAAAGGTGTTTTCAATGGGGACAACTGTGTGTGTCGCTGCGCCGCTGGGTGGCGCCATAACCGCGGAGGGGCG